TTTTTTTTTTTTTTTTTTAAAAAATTTTTTTTTTTTTTTTTTTTTTTTTTTTTTTGTAATAATTTATGCAAATGCGCTTGGAAAAAAACGCAAGTTTATAATTTTTAATTGTAAGTTAAATAAAGGCAATGCCTATGCTTTTTTGTTGTTGTTTTCTGTTTTGTGGTTAACTTCCTCGTAATTAATTCAAATTCGCATCATCTTGAAATTGTATTTCTTTTAATTTATATGGGATGTTGTTTCTTATTTCTCCACATTTATTTCAGTTAAGGAAAGTAAAAGCTGGTGTCATCCGCTGCTTACGCAATGCCTCAGCAGCAGCAGCAGCAGCAGCATCAACAGCCGCAGACCCCGCCCCTGCCCCAACCATAGCCCTAGCAGCAAGTCCAGCAAAAGAAACCAACAAAACGAAGAGCTGAGCCAAAAATTAACAACAAAAACAATAATCAACAACAACAACAACATCATCATTAAAGAAGCCCAGCGAGAAAACTTGCAGAGCAGTGGCGTAGCCAAAGGGGGACACAGACAGTGCGAGGGGCGTTAAGGGAATTACCTTAATATAAGGCAATCATCGAACGGGCAAGAAAAAGGAGGCATGACAAAGCTGTTAACCTTCACCCATTTACAGTTAAATATGGAGAGAAGGCGTATTGGGTGAGGACATACATACATACATATTTTACATATGGCATAAATTGAAAGAGATATGAATTCATATAAGAAACTCATTTGATGAACAAATATATGACTATATCCTTATATAAGAACTCATATATGTAATACTCTTAATAGTATTTATTGTTCAAGTATTCTTCAGCATATAGAAATTATTTAAAATCACATTTCCCGCATAGATCACATGAGAATCATCTAAACTTGTATTTACCTAATAAACAAACATTTTTGGCATTCAATTATAATCTTGACTAACTAGATATTCAAATAGATTGCTGAGTGTATAGCTAAAGCTGTTGCCTGTGTATAGAGAAAATATCGTTAGTTTAATCAAGGGAATGCCCCATATATCATTTGCTAAATCGCAGTAAAATCCCAGCTTTCTTCTTCTGGATGACTCATGCAAGCTGAATCATGTAAGAAAAAAAGTTATAATTGATACGTAAGCTGTAAATCCTTCTGCCCAAGGCATGTGCTGGGGGGTAGGAGAAGGTTATTCCAGCTGTGTGTGCCAACTAGCTATTATATAATATATATACATACATATATGTATGTATGTATCTACTTTGTATTGCCAATCAGTTGAAACAGATTGAAGGAACACGTCAGTGACTGAGCGTGACTCAAAGATTGAACGGCGCCATAAATCTATATAGAGAACTCCGAGATGATAATACGAAATATATTCGCAATGAGAAACGCGCTTATCTCACAATTCTCACTGCTGAATGCTGAATGGGGAACGTGCCCCACCAAAGTGCCAAATTGATTCAATCAAAACCCACTAACAACTGCCTGGGGGCAGACATATCTGGTAACACGCAAGGCAACAAGTGCGAAGACAATTTAACTATCTCTATCTATGTATCTATCTCACTCCGTGCCTCTCTCTCTCTCCATCGCATTAAGTGTGCGCACGGAAAAGTAAAAGAAAAAGGCGTGAAAAAAGTTTTTAGGAATGGCCAAACCGTTTGACACTCGCACGAAAACTTTCACAAGGCGAAACGATGAAAACAAAAACAAAACTGAAATCTACAAACGGTTCAACTCGAATTGAAATGGAACGGTATTGAAACAAAGTGTTACGGTTAGAAAATTAGAATTTTTAAAATGAATATACATTAAATGTATTTAATTATAGATCATATAACTTTTATATATGGCTGAAACTAATTGAAGCAATTAATAAGGGCAAAGACTGTATTAAAAGTGTTATACTTTGATTTGTGAATAAAAGTGTTATACTGCCTACGTTATTTTTTAGAAAACATCCACAAGAGAAACACCAAAATAAAATGAAAAACTGTTATACAGTAATTGCCAGAATATTCGTATTGTTATACATTTTAGAGATTTAGAAGAAGAGAAATATATTTTCAATCGATGTATATTATAATCTTTGTTATACAGTGTTGAATAAACAACTGTTATAATTTTGATTGAGCAGCAATGTGTGAAATTTGTTATACAGTATTATGCCATAGCTAACAGTTATATTTCCATTTTGCAATTGCATTAAATAGAATTAAGTTTCATCAGCTCAATTTGTTCCACTTAGAATTGGCACATGGTAAATAGAAAGTGTTATATAGGCAATGGTAAGACTTTTCCTAACTGCTATAGGATGTTACTATTATTTGTGATTGTCAGAGAATGCATTTCAATTCCATTAGAGAAACTTGATCAAGCACATTTATGGCAGCTGTTGAAAGAGAAAACTTCTAGCGGATTGAGAAAAGTTTAGTTATCTTGGTATAAAAAGAATTTAGAGAACAGACCTCATTAAGCTTTGCTATGATTATGGTTATGGTTTCTTAATTATTTAAAAAGTATTTGATTAATATTTGAATAATTTATATATTACAAAATATATTACTGATCATTACTATATATTACTATAAATAAAACTTGAATCTTTTAATCTAAATTTATATATATTTTGTACAATATATATTCTTATTTCTATATTTCTGTCTTTAAACTTGTCTTGGCTAATTTCGTCCAAGGGAACTTTCTACAAATTTCAATTAGAATTCGCAATTCTCAACTGGTTAATTTGTCACATCTCCATTGCCATTCCCATTGCCGTTTCGAGGCACGTTGCAGGTCGCCGCGCGGCAAGGCATTAGAATTAAGCCAAAAGCTACAAGCCATGAAAGTTTCCACAGAAAATTTGTTAACCATGAAGCGGAGACGATACGCATCGAATTGAATTCTTTCATACGAGAGAACGCTAATGATGATGTCTTCGCTCCATGGAGAAAGAGAGAGAGAGAGAACAGTTAGAGAGCGGCATTGCTGCTCTCATTTTTAATGCACAACTCGACAAATTGACACTTGAACACACATACATTCAAAAAAGAAGCAGAAAAATTGAAGCAGGGGGCGTGTCTTGGTTGGGCAGTCGTCTGGTGTTTTGGGGCGTGCGCTTCTAGAATTTTAAAATGAAAGTTCGTGCTTATTCACGGTTGAAAAAGCATGCGGAAATCTACGGCTCAAGAGTCCGGAGCTCTACAAATAAATCGCAGCTTAGACACAATATATACATACATATATGAGAGAGTCTAGAGTAATAATTATATTATTTTAATGTGTTTTTCCTTTCTCTCTCTCTCTCTCTCTCTCTCCTTCTCCGCCTTGCTCCTCTCTCTCTCAGTATTTATTTTCATGTCGCTTGTTTTTCTTTCTGTCTGTTTTCCCCGCTTATCCATAGCAGCTGTCGTTTTCTGCTACGGCATTACGCTGCATTTTCAATTAAGCCAAGATGAAAGTTTTCTTCTACAACTGTTTGCTCCTCTTCTACCTCTTCCACTTCTACTTCTCTCTGCATGGCAGTCACCTAGGGTAGGGTTTACTGCAGCACACCGAAGCGAAGACATCATATGAAAAGGCAAGGTTATGCGTTGTGAATAAGCAATTAGCTCTTGCGGTTCTTTCCACAACAATCATCAACCTCATCATCATCATCATCATCATCATAAGCAGCAACAGCAACATCATTAGCGGCATCATCATGTAGCTGAAAGACTTATGTGCTAGCTAGCTTTGGGGTCACGCGTTTTGGCATCTGTGCAACGGAAAACTCTGCAGCTGTAGCGCATCGAATGCCTTTCAAGAAGCCAACACTTCGCAGCTTAATAACATATAGGTCTATATGTAGTACATATCATATAAACTATAATTTATTTCTATTTCTATCAGAACTCAATAGGGAATAAGTGTATAGCTTAGAATGTTATTGGGAAAGTTATCGATATTTTATTTAGGTAACTAAAGGGATGTTTGTCTAGTAAAGTTGAGTGATAGGCATTTATAATTTAAATAGCCTTAAGTAGTTTTAATCACGTGCTCAATACTCGAAATAACTTGGTATCGATAAACGATAACACACATACCATTACAAAAGTGCGATTTTTATGATAATTCAAAGTGGAATTTTAATTTGAGCTGCTTTAATTATGTATACATACATACATAGCTTGTTATCGATATTAATATACCTTAAGCAATTACAGCTTGATCTATGCATGAGAGGCAATCAAATCATAATTTGGTATACTTAATTTAACATCATGTCAACATCAATCTTAGTTAAAGGATTGTCATCGATCATTAACGATTTTGTACTTAATTAAATGTTACAAAGTGTTATCGATTAGAGTCGCTGCTGTGTTTTGTGGGCATTTCTTTCTCAATTCCCCAACGAGTCTAGTCATGCTAATCTTATTGTCGATAAGCCCAATACCCTCTCGATCACAGCTCCAATTGAGGCACGTCAAGGCTCTAGCAGCACAGTCGCACAGCAAGCAGCGATTGCCTCAATTTTCACACTCTGAAGGCCGAGTGATTAGTGTGCCACGTTCATCCATCCGCATATCGGATATAGGAGAAACAAAGACAGAAGAGGGGCAAAAGAAAAACGTAAAGAAGGCAGCGACGGCAATCGCAATCGGCAATCGATCTGCACACTCGGCATTTTGTTGCTACGTGTCTAGCGGAGCGGGGAGGGGCTAGGCGAGCGGGGGATTGTGGGGAAGCGACACATGTAACGCAACACAAAAACGAAACGAAACGAAATGAAATGAAATGAAACCTGAGCGATCGCAGGGAGCGCAAAGTTCTCACGGCGAATTACACAAAACGCCGCACATCACGTTTACAGCAATCAAGTTGTGTCTGTCCCCCACCCTATCCCCCCTCCCCCTCCCCCTCTGGCCTATCTTGCATTATCTGTCTGGCTGTGGTTCCATTCCGAACCAATCCAAAGCAAAGCAAAGTCAATTCACTTCACTTCACATTTTACTTCATTCACCGCAACGATCCGCACTCTCAGGCTTCGACTATAAATTTGTACAGCGGCCCAAACGTGAGAGAAATGCAAAAATGTCAAATGCAATCAAAATAGGCAAGAAACAAAATAATAATAATAGAAGATCAGACGAGACAAAGCAATAAAAAAAAACTAAAGCTAAATACATAGACCCAAATAAGGGCTAAACAATGAAAAATGTGAGTCGAGCTGCTAATTAAGCAAATTAGTGGAAAAAACAGTATTAACAAAAATAAAATAGAAACAAAAACAACAACAACAAAAATTGAAATAAAACAGCTGCGGTCAGCGTCTGGCTATATTTTCTTAGCTAGTTTTCGCTGCCGCATTGTCAACAGCACAGCACAAAATTTGACCCATAAAATTTCCCACAAAATTATAGTAATTTTCGCTAACTCAATTTGACGAATGGAGGAGATGTTGGAAAAACAAGCGAAACGCGAGAGAATCGAGACTCAGGGATTAGCCGGTCGCGACGCTGTGGGAGTCGATTGCAAAAGTAGCCGAAAATTAGCTAGAGAAACGTTGAAAACAACAGCCATAGAAGAAGAAGAAGAAGAGAGGAAGAGAGAAGAAAAAAACAGCTCAATTTTCACTATTCAGTTACCCAGAGGCTGGCACCCCCAACCTCACTGTGACTTGTAGAAGATGCCGCATAATAATAGAGCTTGCAACAGCTGCCAGCTAGCAACAGCAACAACAACAACTCCTATTACAACAGCCGCAAAACAAAAGAAGCTAAACAACAACAGCAACAGAAAAAGGCTAAACTACAGCTAAAATAAGCCACAGTCCAGTGGAAACTGAACTGGAAACTGGAAACTGCGCTGGCAGAGCGACCCATTGAGATCTGAAGAGTTCATTCGAGCCATTTAGCAGCGGAAAGAGTTTGCTTTTAGATTAGATTCATAGATAAACGAATAACATTTCCTAAGATTTCTTCGAGTATTTACAAAACCAACAGAAAGTGTTTTTGGTTTGCTTTTGCTTTTTATTAATAAAGCAGATTTGCTTTTATTTCCTCTATTTTATTGCATTTACATACGTATACTAAGAAATCTGTAGTCAAAGCAATAAAAATAAATCTTCATTTTTTTTGAATAATCAATTATTATTTATGAGCCATTTGCTCTGTTGCCATTGCGAATGCTTTTAAAGCTGTTCAACTATAAAATCTGAACGTTTCTCTGAGCCAATCAACACTTTCCGAAAGCCCGGCAATTTCCATCCATCGCATAACAGCATTGAACCACTGTGCGTGTGCGACGTTCTCGTTTCATAGTTGTGGGAGTTTGTTTTATTATTATTTTTTTGATGTTCAAAACTAGGCAAAAGTCTCTTATGCTAGACGCTGGCAACCGCAATATTTCGAGTGTTCGTTTTGTTTTTGTTATTTGTTACGAATACGTGCAACAGCTCAAGTGGGCAGATGACGGCGACGGCGACGGAGCCAACACGATTGCAACATGGATTTTTTTTTCATCTTTTTCGATTTTTCTTGTGTTGTGGAGGATGGATTTTGACATTTTTAGCCACAGAAATTCTCTCAGCTATAAACAATAAATGTAATTGAGACTAAGCGAAAGCCACCCTGTAAACAGAATTGCAGCAAATCTACATATCTAAACTAATATGTGTATAATTTATTGGCACCAAATATTTATTTATATATGGTACCAAAAAGCTTTTTATTACCCTCTGTTAGAGAGTTGTTTATAAATCCCTTTTAAATACATTTATTATAGGGTATTAAAAGTGCTGCCCACAAAATTCATTATGAACTGTGCAAAACATATGCATTCAATTGTTACGCTCTCTCTCTCTCTCTCTCGCTTGTTGCAGCGCATGCATGAAGCAATTAACGACACGTGTTACCGTTAGAATTATGAAGAGAGCACGGGATAACTGGACTGACCAACACACACTCATTTTCAGGCACTGCCCGACTAGAGTTAATGTTCCGCACAGCCAAAGAGGACATGAAATGAGCATGAGCAAAAAAAAAAAAAACGAAATGAGAGCGACACTAATACAAATGCCAAAAACAAAAACCAGGCCCCCTTCTCAGCAAAGCAACAGCAATGGCGACAGCTGAATAATAAATTTAGCACAGCTCTTCGATTTTTTCGCCTCTTCTTCTAGTTTGCTGTTATTTTTGTTGTTGCTGTTGCTCTTGTTGTTATTATTGTTTAGCAGTTGTTTTTTTGTTGGGTAACAACGACAGCTGAGCTGAGCTGGGCTGACATTGACACTTTTCGTTGCTTGCTTGTGGCGCAGAAAAATCATTTAAGGTTATTTATAAAAGCATAAAATACAAAAAAGTATATATGTACATGCATACCCATGCACACATACATAAAAGTATGTATGCATGTATGTTTGTACATGACGAAAGTTCGCAGCAAAAATTGTCCATTCGACAGAGAGAAATGCCTACAAGCAAGCAAACGAACGAACGAACGAAACTACAGTGCGAACGAGCTAAAATGAACAGCTACTAAATTATTAATGAATGATTAAAAAGGGGTTGAAATGAATATTTCAAAGCAATTGATACCTTTTTAATCCTAAATGTAGTTTGCCCTAGCGTGCCATAAATTTACTCCATAATAATCGGGCACACTGTATCGAGCTCTTACTATATACTCGCATATCGGAAATCAATAAATTACGTCTTGAGGTTACATATAACAGCTCTGGAAGTCAGCCCACTTCCCGAATCTTGCAGATATCGGTATTTGTATTTGTTTTTTATATTATTTTTGCTTTTGTTATATTTGCCATACCTAACCACAGCCAACTTCATGTTGGGTCTGCATTATCACCTTATGCATTTATTTACATAAAATTATTTGCAATAATGTCTTCATTGTTTGCCGTTTCCCTTTTCTACGTCTTTTTTTTTCGCAGCTTGTCAAGCGAACCACGAAATCAATTCCAATGGCCACTTCCCCCCACCCTTCCAGTAAGACAAGCCGTTCATTCGTTCAATTTCCGCGTCGCGTTCAACGCGCTTAACCTTCAACTCGCATTAAAGTCAATTTGCTTATTTTTTTCCCCTCTTGTTTTTGTTATTTACTCTTGTTGTTTTCTTCTTCTTTTATTTCGAGTGTTAAGTGCGCTTTCACACCCGCCACCGGCCGCCCACCGCCCACAACGCACCCGCCACAACGCAGCAATTAAATCAAAATTTATGAAGTGATTCTAATATCGTGTCGTCGAGTGTACGCTGAAATTTCCATGCTCGCATTTTGAATGAGCTTAATTGTTGACGATTTTCTATGTCTGTGTGTGAGTATTTAAGTCGCGACCAGGCAAAGCACCGTTAAAGGTCAAACGAGCATTTAGCCAAAGACGAAAAAGGAGACAGCAACAGCATGGCAAAGCGAAATGGCAACAGAGCAAATGGAAACTGAAACAAGCAAGTCACACAATCAATGCCCCTGCTCCAAGCGACACACACACATTCTCCCTCTCTCTCTATTCCTCTTTCTCGGTCTTGAATCGTAGTAGAATTATTACTATCAAAAGAAATAAAAACTAGTTTCTCAATATCAACTCAACCTGCGTTGCGTTGCTGTTGCTGTTGTTGTTGTTGCAGTTGCTGTTGCTTGGTGACGTGAGCGAAGCAACGAGCGTTGAATGCACCGCAGGTAATAAGACGTTTTACAATTGCCCAGCGATCAAACGGGGCGGGAAAGTCTCCAATAATTTCCTAATGGGAGAATTATAGTATTTAAACTTGGAATTTCACACGTTTAGTTAGGCTAGAACATCTAAGTTCAACGTTTGATAGGGAAATTTCGCTAATATACAATTTCCCTAATTGGGAAATTTTTATGTATCAATCATATTAAATGTAATTTATACATATGCAAAACATATAAATATGTACATATATATTTATATGCAGATGTGTATATACACATAGAATATATTATCTAACTTCTTATATTCATATTTTCTTGAATTTCTGTAGGCCTATAAAAAATTCCCCCATTGTCATAAAACCCCAAAGCGCATTTCATCACGCTTCTCTTCTTTTTGTTTTTGTCGAATTTCAAGTGTTGAGCATAAAACAGAATCGATTTTTGCCACACTGTGCGACGTTTGGTAGGTGGTGACGCATTTGCACGAAACTTGCCGCTACTTGAAATAACTGTGAAAGGACTGCATTGTGGTAGAGTGCGGCAGGCGGTGCTTTTTTCACTGTCTGCACCGAGGGTTGAGGGTTGCCACCTGACGGCACGAATGTGCAGGGGATGACAGGAAACGCGTCCGGTAAGGAAGTGACACAGAGCAGAGACCACTGCGGCAAAGGAAGTGGTTAAAAAAAAAGAAATATAACCAAACAAGCGACAAAACGCTAACATAGCAACAACAACAACTGGCGCTTGCAGATGCTGTCGCTGCCGACGGCGCTGCTGCTGCTGCTGCGGCTGCTAGTTTGCTGCTTACTGGTTACAGTTACTAGCCAAAGCAAAAGCTCGATGCGCCGTAACCGTTATTATTGTAGTTGTTTGTTTGTTTTTGTTGCTGTGCCAATTCTAAGCGTTGCATTGGCAACAGTCGCGCTTCGCCGGTTTTGCAAAGCTACTGCTGGGGCTGGGGCTGTTGCTGCTGCTGCCGCTGCATTGCGCGTAATCAGTGAAGCAACAAACCGTGGCAGCAACAAACACAACAACTACAACTCCAATAATAAAAGTTGTAATGCGGCTACTGCTGAAGAGGTAGCTAAACAGTTTGATTTTTTTTTATACTTTATTTTTGCCGTATATGTATTGAAAACTCGTATGCAGTTAGCTGTGAATGACACAGTTTACACTTACACAACACATACACGCAAACGCATACACTGACACAGTGGAGTTAACTCCTTCTTGCTTACTTGATATTTTTTAATTTTTTTTCTTTTTAGGATTCACAGTTTATTTGTATTCACTATTTACGGTTATATGTTTTGCATTTTCATTACTTATAAATTGTTTTATTTTTGTTATTAAAATTTGCTAATCTGCTGCACGCCTCCAAACAAAGTCAAAAACGTAAAGTCACGGAGTTTTAGACGGCGACCCGACGACAACGACGACGGAGACATCGAAAACCGTGCGACCAAACGTGCCAAAGGAAATTTCTATACTGAGGCAGGCAGCAAGACTTTGACAGCTGCCTGGCCTGACTGACTGACTGACTGGCAAACACACATGCAACAATACACACACACATTCATGCAAAACACACAGAAGCTGCCGAACGAAAGCAGAGCATACAGCCAAAGATGACGATGGCGAATGATGGTGTATCGTTGTGTTTGCTGTTGTTGTTGCAGTTAGTTTCTTTTAATACTGCTGGCTCGAAAGCGCCGCAGTCGCTGTACGCACACACTGACAGACTTGAACACGCATAGAGTATATATATCCATATATATTATTAACTGGTTTTCTCAGAGCGCAAGTGAGAGCGAGTAGTAAATGTTTCATTGTGTGCTTTGCATACAAATGCGGCAGCCAAGCAAGACCAGAACAGATGTATACATATACTCACAGCACACAACCACTTGTTTGACTCTCTCTCACTCATTCTCTCCCTCTCTCTCTCGTGGTTCCTCTCCTTACAACTAACGCTCTCGCTCGCTGCGTTTCATCAGCTGAGCGGCGAGCACACACATACACAAACGTGTATTGTAATTTTAGCGAGCAGCTGACAGCTAACAGAGTTGCCAGACTGCCACAGCTCAGGTAAATGCAATAGTAGTAGAATTTGCTACTATTTTTGAAAAGAGCAGTAGCTAATTTTAAAGTAGATTTCAATTAAGAGAAATTCTTTTTGATTTTAATATATGTATAAACAATTGCTTCATATTTACCCTTGTGGATAGCTTATCTTGCACATATAACAGATGGTCATATTGGAGAAACTTACCTGCAAGAAAAAAGAGAAAGAAATTAGTATTCAGTAAATTTTATTCGAAAATTTAATATGCAGACACCTTAATTATGTGAATCCCAGGTACTCCAGGACTTCCCAAAGTTTGTGACCCGCATAACCTCTTACGTGAATGCCTTTGTAATGCCATTAGCACCCCCTACTCCTATTTATGTGTAATTATCACACGCTTTGTGTGTGTCATTGATAAGAAAGAGAGACCCAAAGACAAAGAACAAACAAAATAACACAGGAACTGCATTTGGTTCACGACTTCCACGGAATCAAATGCCAAAATCAAAAAAACCAAAAAAGGAAAAAGACGCGCCGTCATTCAACACAAATACAATTACAACAACAACAACAACACGCACATCAGCCCAGCTGCTGTCGGTAGTTAAGAAAGAGAGCGAGATAGAGAGCATGCCTATGCTGGGCAGCAATTCGATGCGTTCTCTTTTTGTTGTCTTGCGCTTCTTGGTTCATTCGTCGTCCTCCTGGTCAGTAAACACCTGTGACCGCCCGCATCGAAACTGCTGTGCACCATGTAGTCGTGTCGACTCGTCTGCAAGTTCATTTGCACTTCAAATATTTATTTTATTTTTTTGGGCTACTCTTTGTACACACGCACAAGCACATACACATGCACACGCATACATACATATTTATATACTGCAACGGCGCTGCTTGGCTGCTTTCTAGCGGTTTCATCAAGCAGCCGTCGACGACGACGGTAACGTTGACCGCGACGCAAGCAATTCGCCATTATTCGAATTGCTTTGCGCTCATTATTTATTGCAGCGACTGTTGCAGCCTCGTTGCAGTCGAGTGCAGACGGCCAGCAATCAAACGGCACACGATCTATCTTACACACACACACACAATATACTCATGTCCCTTTCCCACCCACTTGCCAACATATGTATGTATGTATGTATACGAGAAACTGTTTTAACAGTAAACCAAAACAAAATTGCAGATTTAGATCAGCTGTCGATTAGAAGTGATATTTTTGTTTAGTTTCAAACTTGAGTTTCGTTTGACCTATAAATTGTTTGTTTATACCATTTCCATTTGTCTTGTATATGTATACCAATATGTAAATATCTTTAATAAATAAATACAGCCTAAATAAAATAACATAAGGAGTGAGAGAGAGAGAGAGAGAGAGTAGGCAAAACGCTCACTTCCTGCTGACAATAACAACAACCGCAACAAACATAGGCAGAAGCAAAAATAAACAACAACAATAATTCCGCTCTCTCTCCCTCTCACTCTATCTACATATCTCACGCTCTCTTGCGATCTCTAATTATGTCTATGTATTGGCGTGAGTTGTGTTTTGTTTTTGCGGCTTGTTTATGTGATGCTTTTTGCTACTAATCTCTGATGTGTTTTTCTTAGCTTGCGGTGTGGCAGCGACGGGAGTTCCGTTTAGTCGGTCACGCCACCACACAAGCGACAACAACAGCAACGGCAACTGCTGTGGGTCATGCGCACTACAAATGACGTCAGATGTAGCCATCAAATTTGAAAGTGCGCAAAAAAAACACAAATAATGAAAACGAAATGAATAAAAGAGCAAACTATGACTTTTATGAGGCGCCTCAAGCATAAACACACACAGGCACACACATGTACATATGTACATGTACATACATATGTACATATGCATATGGACAAACGCAGACACAAACACACACACACAATTTTTGTGGACAGGCGCTGGGTGATTTATGTCTGTGTCCAAAAGGGGGCGCGATAATACGAGCAGTGCTAAACTGCGTCGTAGGTGTGAACCAGCATTGACCTATCCTTCGCCCTCTCCCCATCTCCTCCTCCAACACCCTTGCTAGACAGTTAGCTAGATATAAGCTTATGTGCGCTGCGGGGTTTCTTTTCGACTGCGTGCGTCTGCCAATGGAAACCCTATAAAGCAAACGTTGCTTGGGGCGAATTCGGGTATGGGAATTGCGTTAAATGCGCAGCAAAAACGCAGGACACACAAATTCAGCAATTCCCGAGAAGCAAGCAAGCAATAAAATAAACAAGAAAAAAACAGAAACAACTACAAACACAGCCAGACTAATGGGACAGCAGCCGAAATCATAATCAGCTGTTTCTGCGAACGACTCGAGCAAAGCGAAGGGTGCGCAATAACAATAGCCATCTCACTCCAACGCACAGCCATTCAGCTATGCAGTTTCTTGTTTATTTATGCTATCCAATTGACTTGAACGATGCTAGAACGAAATGAATAAAAATAATGGAAACGAAATGAGATAATGCTCGTACTAGAGATACCCTTGAAATTGTGAGTGAAATACGAGTTTATTGATTTGTCTTAATATTAAATATAAACCTGCAGTGCTTAGAAATGTAGGAGAAACTGGGAAGATCGCAAATAATCCAATTGGAAAAAAATAAGAAATTCAATTGTATGGAAACAGTTTGAGTTTAATGTATTGGCAGCTCTACAATAATATCATCTAACCAAATACATATGAGAACCGTTGAGATCAAACAGTTGATAAAAAATTGAGTTACTTATTGAATCAGTAATTTATTGGTGCTCTAATAACAGATGTTCCTAAACTTGGATAGTTTATGACGATCTTGATTTGTTTGAATACTAAATCAGAAACGGATGCAAATAAAATTGAGTAGAGAAAACAGAAAGACTGGAATTGTATTATTGGAAAAATGCGCAATATTCCAATAATATTTAGATACAATTAAAAACAGTTTAGCTTTGATCTATTGGGATCTCTCTGGGTACTGTTTACTGTAGTATATATGGTATTGTATTGAATAAAATGTTCTGTTTGGCTAAGTTTGTGAAATATGCATTATTGTTCTGCTTTAATACTACATAAAAAATGTAAATAAAATAAATATACGAAGAAGTAGAAAGTGAGGTAGAATAGAATTGCCCACTTGGAAACGTACATAATTTAAATAAGCTTTAGATACAATCTAAAACAGTTTTGCTTTGATCTCTATAAGCAAATTAAATATGTGAGAACCGCCGAGACAAATAGAGAATGGAAGAATTTATGGAAGCGTAGAATTTCCCAATTGGAAAAAATAGAAGTAGTTAGAGAAAATCCAGCTCAACTTAACAGTGATTTAGTTGAATCTCAATAATCAAATATATGTAAATTAAATATGTGAAACCCGTAAAATTTCAAATAGGAAATGGATTTACAAATAAGTTATAATTTAATTTAAAAAGTGTATTCCATTTAAAACTACATACGTCAATAATAATACCAAATTGCATAGAATACTCTTCTATTCATTTCTTGTTAGCTTCCAGCGAGCCCAAACTTTTTCTCGTATGACTTATATGTTGCTCTAAAATCAGTCTATGTAACACATACATATGTCCATTACACCTATTTAACGGCTTTAGAAACAGTTGGTCATGAAGCGCGTTATTATGCAAGTGTTAAGTAAATTAACTAAATGGCTTTAAAAGAAAATGAAAAACAGAAATATTTGCTAAATGGCCAATTAACTTTCACAAATTGAGAAGCTTTACAAGCAGCTGCTCTGCTACACCCCCCCACCCCTCTCCCGCAGTCCTGTCGCCTTACCGACAAAAACAGGTGACCGTCTCCTCCACATCGAGTGGCAGCGACAGCTGAGCATTGCCTGAATTGCTCCCAGCTCCACTCGCAGCTCCACTTGATTGGCCCTTGCTGCTGCTGCTGCTGCTGTGGTTGTTGTTGCTGCTGCTATTATTATGATTGCTGTTGCTGTTGCTGCTGCCGCTGTTGTTGTTGTTGCTGCTGTTGCTGTTGCTGTTGTTGCTCTGCTGTCGCAGGAATGTGGCTGCGAATGTGGAGGACAGCGAGGAATGCATGGCGCTGCTCGAGGCGCGCGGCGTGCCAGCTGCGGGCGTCGTCGCTGCCATCGAGGAGCCGCCATCCTCGGCCAGCGGCACCGAGGAGTAGCGCACGAGTATCGCACGGCTCACCCGATTGCCGCCCGTCAGATTCGAGATGGCCCAGTTCATGGCGCAACGCAACGCAACGGAACGAAATGGAATGGAATGGAACGGATCCAGCCAACAGCCGCGTCCGATGGCCCAAATGCAACTGAGCTGCGGCACTGGGTCTACGGCGGGGCCAGCGCTAAGAAGAATCGACTAAGCCGCACGTCTTTGCCTCCCGACCCGCCAGCCAACCCACGAACCGTTAGGAATTGATTTAGCCAACTGATTTGTCAGCCCTGTCAATCAATTCCGGACGTGAAGAGTTGTTATTTCGCAACTTGCAACTGCATATGTCTATCTCTGGCTCTGTCTCACTTTCGCTAACCTTAGGTCCACCCCTATCTCTCTCCCTCTCTCTTTCTTTCCCTCCGTTTCTCTATTCCATTATGTGCTTTTGCTTGGCTGTCGTCTAATTCAATTAGAGTTGTGCTAAGTGTGCCTCAAGGTCACCAAGTACCACCCTCCGCTATTCCCATCCCTTCCACACAGTCGAGGGTTGTTCCCATATACATACATATTATACGTATTAGCTACAGATGCCTAGTCATATATTATATATATACGTATGTATGTACATATGTATATATGTTTTATGCATGTGCATCTGGCATATATAATCTCGGCTAATTGAATTCCCACACACACACACATTTACATAAGATATTTCTAACTAACAGTTACCCTACCCTCCTTAAACAATCATATGATTGCACATAACGGAATTCACTCCAGAAAAGTCCTGAATGTTTCAGATGGATTGTGAGCAACCGAGAGATCCTTCTCTATTAAATTGAAATAATATTTGTATCTAGTATAAGAATTACTATCTACACTTTCTGAACTTAAATAATTTAATTTAAATTTAAAATTAAAATTTAATAAAATATTGTTTTATTTATTCGACGCAATTTTCTCTACAATTGTATATCTACAGATTTATTTATGTTTAAATGTTCGAGATATTAAATATTTGTTTTCTTTTAATTTATTGATTGTTTACCAAAGTATTTAAATATAGAAATTGGTATAAGTAAAACAAGAAAAATGAAATATTTTCATATAAAAGTATGAATGCATACAGTAGCCACTAGGAATGCAAGAACTGGGATATATGTATGTATGTATATTCAACAGATTGAACTCGAACTGCATTTGGATTTTTTTTGTTATATTATTTTGTTGAAATTAAAAAAAAGAAGATATAAATTTGTACATGTATCATATCATAAAAAGTATTTGATAGTTTAATTTTAATTTCACCAAGTTTTATTAACTATATAAAAGATATATGAAATTGGAATAACAAAATGTAAAAAAAGTTGTTAATTATTGATAATTTTAAAATATTTATGATATTGTAAAAAATTAATTTCAATACCATAAAAATCATTTCAAATAAATTGTACTTTCATGATTTAATATAAATTTTTTTTTTTACATTGATAATTAAATATTCTCTAATTATTTTTATATTTTTATGAATCTTCAAATTGATTAATTTCAATTAACAGCAAATAATTCACTTGTAAATAAGTATAAATTATAGATTTGCTTCACAATTCCAGTGACTACTGTATTTGCAGAGCATCGAATAGTCTATACATTCATATACACATACATGTGTATATAATTCTCCTCTTCAAATGCTCTCTCGCTTGTATTTATTTACATATGTATGTATGTGCATGTGTGAGTAAGAGAGTGCCTTTGTGTGCGTTTATTTAGATGATCTATGAAACTGTTTGTTATTGTTGTTGCTATGTATGTACATATGTGATTTGTTTGTTTTTACGTTTTTGATTACAGATTGTGAGTAAATTGGCAAGTTCATTAAACCGGCTTCGCTTATCGCTCGGCAACAACAAAAATGCGTACAAACTTAAACAAAATAGTAAAAGAAGAAGAAGAACAACAACAACAACAGCAGCAGCAGCAGTACGCCATGGGCGCAGTAACAATGGAAGCGAGTAGTTGAAGAGGAAGGCGAAGGGGGTCAAAAAGTGAGCGAACGAACGAGGATAAAGACAAATAAACGATATCGAAAATGCAGTTTGGCCTTGATGAATGGACACGAGGAAGCAAAGTGCATAAATAAATATCTGTGTGCGTGAGTGAGCATGCCTGCCTGCATCTGTGTGTGTGTTCGTGTGCATGTGTAACTGCGTTTACTTGTGTTTGTGTTTATGCTTGTGTGTATTGGTTTGCGTGCGAGTAGATAAAAATCAAAACACTTGCGACTTGACTTGCGTTACATTTGAGAAATCGATAAAAACACAACAATAACAATAAAACAAAAATGGATTTTATTGATTTTGCAGGGCAGAGCGATAACAACAACAGTACGAAGTAGAAAAACAAAAACAATAACAGCAAATGAAACTCCTGCGATGGCGGCTAGGCCAGACGTAACAACAACAAAGCTTTTGCTTTTGTCGGCGAAAAAGAGATGCGAAACGAGGCCAATTGGCGAAATGCCAAACAGCGACGAAGCAAAACGCAGAGGACACAAAAGACACCACCAAGACGAGGCGACAAAGCGACGAGACGACGTTACGTCGCGATGTCGATGTCGACTACGCCGTCGGTTCGTCGCTGTTATCGTCTTTAGGGCAGGCTGCATACTATTTATAACAAATAAAAAATCACATCCCATTGCGTTTGCATCTGAATGTTTGCGCATTGGGTATTTATGCTGCTGCAGCTGATTACGTTACGCACTTACCCCATCAACCAGTCGACCGTGTCGCGCAAATACTCCGGAATACGCTCCAGTTTGACGGCTGCTCGATGCTGACTGCTGATGATGCCTTTCGCCAAATATATATTTTTGTAGTTCTTTTTCTACTTCAGCTAACACCAACAGCACCGCCAACAACAACACATCAACGACACAGGCACACGAATTTATCACCTAGCAAACCAATTGACACTTTTTTGCTTCTGATAATCAATAATATAGAAAAATTTCGTTTTTAAAACTTTGCACATCAAATTTTCACGCTTCTTCTTCACTTGTTTTGTGTGAGCCCGATACGTTTCGAACGATACCAAAGCTAATCGATAAGCCAAGCTAATCGATGGTGGGCAAAAATATCGATTGAATTCCACAAACAAATTTTTCAAAATTCAAAATGCCTAAATACTGGATAATATTAGAGTAAACCTTTTGTAAGTAAGTGATTTTCTTAAAGTTGCTGCATTAAATCATATTTCTTTTGAATAATTAAACTGGTTTTCTTTACTCAGGTGAGCAGCTGCAACACAACTGTTGAGTACTTGTGGGAGCCCTGGTTTTGGAAAATCAGCTGTAGACCACTGAATTTTGTTATTTGGCCAGCTGCAAAAACAGCTGATTTTTATTTTGGTTTTTACTAAAAACCGATTATTTGAATGAAAGCTGTAAAGCTGCAAACAAAACGAGCCAAAAATACTTGACGTTTTAGAAACGAAGAACAAGCTCCAACGAATCGTTAATTTGTACATATTCAAATGAAAATGCCGCTTCGAATTGAATTAAGCAGTCCAATTTCCATTCCAATTAGCATCAATCAGTTCTTTACTGTTTTAAAAGTCAGAGCTATATCAGAACTATAGCTCAGAGAGTATTCTCTCGCTTCCTTAAGATATATATTACTTGAATACTTTAGCAATTTTGATTTGTTAAAAAGAAGCGAAACAAATTATTTTAGATGCGTTCGACAAAAATAATGGCAATTATGATAGTTCATAAATCGATATTTCGATCTAAACAGGCAGTTTCGCTGTCCAGCAATCGATGTTTGCCGATAGTCGATTTCGATTTCACTGCCACAACGTGCACAACATTGCGATAAGATGCTGTTTCAAGCAGTCATCACATTTTAAGTCACAGCTGATTTCGTCAGATACATCGATTACATAAAATGGTACAAAATTTAGAATAGATATTTGTGTGAAATTAAAATAAAACGCCTGAACTACATGTACAAATTTTTTGAACCTCGTTTCATATTTTAACGCAATGCCCATGCACCAAATGAAACCTGACCCGCGCGCTATCCAACAATACAAGACGAGCTCCATCATCCTAGCAGGCCTTGGCGTGGCCGCAGTGGGCTTTGCTGGCAAGCACCTGCTGCGCCGCATGCCGCAGATGACAAGCAAATTCAACGAGGCGCTCAAGAACCTGCCCAAATTCGATGCGGAGAGCATGGCCAATGCCAAATACTACAAAGGCGGCTTCGATCCCAAAATGAATAAACGCGAAGCGGCCCTCATACTGGGCGTCAGTCCCAGTGCCTCCAAGCTAAAGGTGAGTAGCGGAACACATACATATATTGCTCAGCCACTAATCTTCACTAACTTGTGAACTCGTGGCCGCAGGTTAAGGATGCACATAAAAGGATAATGTTGCTCAATCATCCAGATCGGGGCGGCTCTCCCTATTTGGCGGCAAAAATAAACGAGGCAAAAGATTTTCTAGACAACGCCAAGTAAATTAATCAGAATATTGTAAATAAAAATGTAAATAGCTTTAAGAAATCTATATTAGTTTTTATTTGTTTATGTAAAGTGTGTAAAGCGTTGCTGCTGAGTTAAAGCGTTTGTGAATTTAGAAATCATGTTGATTAACTTCTAGACAGTTAAGTTTAAGAAGATATATCCATAGAATATAGGCATTGATATTGCAGTTTCTCTTAAAAGTTAAGATTTGCTCTGACAACTAAATATTGCTAAAGGCAATTCAGCAGCTAACAAATTCCGCCTAAATTTCATTCATAGTTCAGAGATTCCTTACTATATTTTGTTCTATAGAAACTCTTCAGTATGCACAATTCCCCATTAACCAAGTTCTTAATGTCTAAACTCATTACGCTTAAAGATAATACAGTCCCTAATCGTCTTCAAGTTGAGCAATTTGGACTTAAGCTCTATAAATATCATCAGAAAACTCTGCAGCTCATCAGTTCAATAGCAATGCAGTTCGCTTGGTTAACACTTCGGCTTTTAGCACTTTCGATTCCCCTCCAAGTTCACGCTGGTCCTTTGACGGCCACGGCGGACTCCATTATCACCAATGGCTATCCAGCTTTTGTGGGGCAAACACCCTACATTGTGGGTCTTCTGCTCCTTGAGGGTCAGTTGGGCAGGTGGTGTGGTGGCTCGATCATAGATCACAGCTGGGTGCTAACTGCGGCCCACTGCACGGATCACATTGATGCGGTAAGCATTTACTATGGAGCCACGAGGCGAACGGAGGCGCTCTTCCACTTGGAGGTGGGCATTGAGGATGTGGTGCAGCACCCCGACTGGCCGGGCAGCATTGGCAATGACATTGCGCTCATACGCACACCGCATGTGGACTTCTGGTCGCTGGTCAACAAAGTGAAGCTGCCTGGCCTCAATCAGCTTGAGGAGAGTTTTGAGAACGCTGCGGTCATCACGTGTGGCTGGGGCAGCACCTCCGATGCCAGCGACATGCCCGACTGGCTGCAGTGCATCGACTTGAATGTGATCAGCAATTCTGAGTGCTCGCGCAGCTATGGGAAGCTCCCGGAGAGCGTTTTGTGTGTGGGCACACCCGAGGGCAGATCCATTTGTGATGGTGACTCCGGCGGTCCACTGGTCACGTATGATGAGCCCCTTCTAATAGGCATCACGTCGTTTAGCGATGCTAGCAGTTGCCTCTCTTCAGCGCCAGCCGGTTTTGTCCGTGTGACTCATCACTTGCAATGGATACGCCAGATATCCGGCGTTTCATATTAGCTGCAATCAATTTTTGAAATCATGTAAGACTTATCGATACAATTATATTTCAAAGCAAATACCGATACAGTGTGTGCTTTTAGCTTTAACAGATATATCGATATGTAATTTTTAAAATGTTGCAATCGTGTATTACTGTCGATATATCGAGTCATCTACCAATTTGTTTAATTATTATTTATAGAATTTGTAAGCATCGACTTTGAATCTGATACCTGATGCAATAAATTTAAAAATCAAATAAGAGTTAATCCCACAAATTTATTATAATATATCGTTATAAAGCAGTATCTCATATCATTACAATTTTTAAATTATCGACAAAGCAGTGTAAAAATTGCCTGCTCTACTTTGATTCAAAATTTAATTAAGTGTTGCGCGTGCTACTTTGAATTTGTGTTCATTAAAATTTGCGTTCTTCTATGCATTGGCTGTCTGGCCGGCTAGCTCGGTATTCTCCATGACATCGCGGAACTGATCTATAGAGACCAGGCCATCCTGATCCCTGTGTGTATTCATAAGCTGCTGCCATATCGTCTCAAAGTCTGCATCGCTGACAATGTCCTTAAATATTTCCTCTAAATGGTCCCTGGGTCGCAACATCTCAAAATCGCTGGGCAGCAGACCATGCAGCGTCGCTATATTCGGCGTGAGCAGATCTTTGACATGAGTATTGTCTTCATCCGTCTTCTTGGGGCTCTTCTTCAGCAACGGCGCCGCCTCCACCGGCGTCTTGCCAAGATCGGCGCAGAGCAACCGATAGGTGGTATCCTTGTTGTAGATATTCGGCGGCATCATTGAGATATTGCCCGTCGTGGGCAGCGGATGCTGTATGTTGAGCAACTGACAGAACGTGTCGTAGTTCACCCGCTCGTTGGGGCAGTTCTCGTCGAGGATCATCTTGAAATGCGAGAGAGTGGTGCGCATCTTGTAGATATCGATATACAGATGCATCTTGTGCATCACCTCGAAGATCTTCGTCAGCGGCAGATGACGCGTCTGCTCCTTGTCACTGTGCTCCAGCACCGAGATGAGATCGAACATTTGGAAGTCGGCGCGCAGCTGCAGCTTGTGGCGCCACATGTTGAGATGACCCAAGGCGTCGATCAGATGCTTGTTGCTCTGGCATGGCGATATGTCCTCGATGAGCATCTTGCCGTCGCACAGGTCCTGGGGGGATGGCCTGCCAAAGGTCATATGCTGGGGCACTGAATAGGGATATCTGCAGCAGATACTGAATCAGACAGGGACCGGAACACAGCTGAGGGTTTGACTTACTTCTTTAACTTTTTGCCCAGACGCGGATAGGTGCGATCTATAAAGTCCATTTGCTCCTTGCTAATAATGATCACATTTCCGGCGCACTGCTGCATGCAACGCTTCACCATCTTGCCCGTAACGTCGACATTGTAGGCAGCGCCATAGGTGAGCCGCCTGTCAAAGGGCGCCTTGTACCTGGAAAGATATTAGAGCTATGACAAAGAGGAGGAGATACAGAGAGAGGCAGTTCTTGTTGCACCTGCGATTCACTTGCTCCGAGGGAAAATAGTGATTGTGACTGAGGATGTATTTGTCGTGAAACTTGCCAAATTCACGATTCACTTGCTCCGCCGGCTTGCGCGGCAAGATGATATCGTAGACGCCGCCACTCGAGTTGGTCTCACAGCCGAATGTGGTGTTCAAATTGTTAATATGGTCGGGCTTGGAGCCGGTGGGCATCACCTCGCCGAGCCTGGCCTGCTTGAGGTACATATCCTCGGACATTTTCTCCTTGAACATCATGAAACGTGACTTGGACTTCTCCATGGCCATCAGCTCCGGCACACTGACGTTCGGTAGGCACGGCGCCTCTGCATACAGCAGGCCCGCATTCTTCAATTGCCTGCGCTTGCAGTCCTGCCGTATCAGATGCTCGGCCAGCTCCTCGATGTGCGAGATGGTCATGCAAGTGCCGGTCGAATTGTCCGGTTCCAGCACCGAGGCCAACCCAGCTGGACGGATATCCGGGCTGCGGTCCTTAAAACGTCCTGTGTTGGCCATTTCTACTCTCGTTCGCTAATATATGTAAAGTCTTCAATGTTAGTTTCACTAGGGTTTGCCTTGAAATCGAAATGTTGATTGTTAATCCTATGCTAGAGGCTTGCCTAGTCTTTCGTTTAACAGAGCTTTGAATGGAGAACTATATAATAGGAATTTCCTTGAAATGTTGAGAATTGCATAGAGGGGCATCAGTTACAAATACATTTCTTCGTAACACTAAGCTAACTCATATATACTAAATATTTACAAGAAACTTTCACAGATATTGACAATTAAATAAATAAATAATTTTATTATTAGCTGAATTAGCCGAGTAAAGAACAGGATATTAATAACTTAGGCTTAAATTGGCTTCTCCAACTCAAGTATTGGGGTTTATTGTACAGGGTACAGTGGAGTCGAGTCGCGGAAGTGGGATGCGGTAGAGACAGTCTTAATGCAATGCATAGTTCTTTTGCAGTATAAAGTCCCAGGTGTCCTTCCAGCGCAGGTCAATAATCTCCTTGGCAGACATCTTTCGTGAGCCGTAGCTCAATGGCAAGAACTTGAAGAAGGTCGCTGCGGCTGCGACCAGCCAGGCGATCAGCATCAGACGATAGAGGCGCACCAAGTGAACGGCCCGTCCGCTGCAATGGCGTCTCAGCAAATAGTCCAGATGATCCAGCACAAAGCTGAGGAGCAGCAGCTTGAAGGCGAACGCCGGCAAATAGTTGTGCAGGAAGAGCGTGCGGTCCATGAAGAAGTACGGCAAATAGTGCACCAGATAGCCCACAAAGAAAGTGTCCCCAGCACTGAGGAAGCGACGCCACTCGCTGGCCGAGATATCGAAGCACAGGCGACGGCGCCGCAAGGCATAGAAGACGAGGAGCGTGGCATAGAGGACGAGCCCAGCGCTGGCCACATACCAGATGAGCACGTTTCCCAGCAAATAGATTTGGGCGCTGGAGCTGTCGTCCAGCCAGTAGGCGATGCCCTTGTCCAGCAGCGGCCACTCGTGCGGCTGCGAGCTGTACATGTGGCTCTGCAGCTGCTTGGCGTGCCACAGCATCTTGGTCTGGAGCTCCAGCAGCTTGGACCAGAAGGAGAGCTTGGTGGGCTGTGTGGGAATCATCTCGGCGGAGAGCAGTTGGCGCTCTCGCTCCCGCTGATCCTGAGCTGCAAAGAGAAACGAGATGAAGATCTAGCAACTTCTGTTCAACCTTGTCTACTCTCTCTGGCTTACTCTTGGTGTAGCGATGCTCCTCCACATTCCAGATGGCGTCCTGATGCTGCCTCTCGCGATCGGCCACCACCTCGTGCTGATTGTAGCCCCAGCTGGGCAGCTGTCGCCCGCTGAACCGCAACGCCGCTCCTGTGGTCTCGTGTATCAGTCGTATCTCCGACTTGATGGCGTGCCAGTGGTCGCCCTCGGTCTGCCGGTTGAGGATCTCCACGCGCCACAGCAGCTCCCCGGCCATCTTGATCTCGTAGTCTATGTAGCAGCTGACCTCCTGGCACTGGGGCGTCATTGGGGCAGCCACGTCGTGCGAGTTGAGGGCACGGCTAGTGATGCCGTGCACCAGCTGGATGACGTCGCCATGTTTGATGGCATCCGGCTGCTCGCCCACTACCAGATCATCACGCTCCGGTCGCTTCACGATCCACCAGTTGTTCACATCCTTGAAGGAGTAGCATGTCACCTGCTGCTGATGCGAAGAGCCGCGATTATCCTTATACCTCACAGGATACACAGCTGCGTGCGAGTGCAGCCAGCAGGCGCGTCCGTGTGTGTGCCTCAGCGTAATCTGCGATCCGTGCACCACAGCCAGCGGCTGTCCCCGCGTGATCGAGGCCAGCCCACCCTCCAGCGAGGCCTGGAAGGCGCTCGTCATGATCGTGTCGTGAGGCCCCGCTCGATGCAGCGTTGTCAAGTGGACGTAGAAGACGCCCAGGTACACGGCCAAGGGAATGCCCACGAACAGCAACAGTCTGCTCAAGGCGTGCATCCACAGTTGTTTATCTGGTGAAATAGACAAGGTTGGGCTTGAGATCTTTTATATTTCTTAGCTGAGCAAATGGCAACAGAATGAGAAAGTAAACAAGTCAGCACTAAAACAGGTCAGGTAAACATATTCCGACAAGTTCTATGTATACGATCGTAAAGATCATATGATTAAGAAATATTAGAAACCTGTTAACCTCAACTCTTAATCTTATTCTCTTAATCTCTCTACTTATCTATTGCTGCTTATATTTCTATCTTTCTACTGTCTCTCTACTTCCTAAACAACAAGCTGTCTTTCTTATCTCATTGAGATCTCCCTATTATGTTTATTGGTAACAAAATTCTCATCTCTATATTATCGATGTGATAGTCACTTGAAATTCATATGAAAATACCTTACTCTAACGAAATTATTATTATTAACAGCTTGCTATCTAATAATTATATGATCACCTATTGTTAAAGGTGCAGAAAGTTTTTTTTATTTACATAACTCTGTTATATGTTTAATGTTAATTAACTCCCCAGATATATTCTTCTGTTTATAAAGTTATTTTACGTTCATCTTATCTCATTATCTGCTTTACCAACATCCCATTAAATAATTTCCAACATCCCTAACAACCTCTTATCCGAGAGAGAGTATCAATTACTCTCCGCTAACTTTCTCTTCTCTCATTCTGAATGCCGCTCTTAAATCATTCCTTGACTCACTTGTCAGAGTCGCATCGTAAAGCAGCTTCCAAAGATGGCGACACAGCAAATAGCCCGCAAGTCCCATAGCGAGAAAGCCAACATATTTGATGCAGCCAGCGCAGGCTAAAAACAGCGCAGCCGCGACGCCGCTGCTCAGCCACTTGAGGCTGCCCAGCGAGCAGCGCTGGAAACGCAACAGGAAGCTAATGCCCACAGTGCTGGCCAGCAGCAGCATAGATTCCATGAGAATGAAGCGCGACTGCGTGAGCAGCGCATTATCCAGCACTACGAGCAAGCCGCCAAGCGCTGCCGACCAGCGACGAAGCCGCGCTTCCAGCAGCAGATGGTACACTGCCGGCGCGAGCAGACTTCCACAGAGAGCGGGCAGAAAGCGTAGCCAGAAGATGGGCACATTTGGCCCATAGGGGGCGCCGATTCGTGAGAACGTGTAATTGCCGTCGTAGCCAGCGAAGCTGACCAGGCCAGCTATCAACTGCTTGCCCAGTGGCGGATGCTGATCGAAGAAGAAGATGTTTCGCATATATAGCGAAATATATTTTCCAAAGTGCAGCTCATCGAAACTGTGAATTTCAGAATTCAATTATAATTAATTAATACAAATAAGTCTCTTAAAATTTATTACGTACACAACATGCGCGGGCGTTGCGAGCTTATAGAATCGCGTAATAAATGCGAGCACGAACAGACCCCAGCTGATGAGATCAATGTGCAGACTAACGGTTAATTGCGCTCTCCCAGCTCTGTTCGCATCGACTGCGCTGCCTTCCCTCTGCTTGTGCGGATTGTCGCCGACGCTACACGAAGACGAGCGAGAACTGGAATGGGAATGAGAATGGGAACGAGAACGCGAACGCGATTGTTTTGATGCAGAGGTAGGCGTAGGCGAAGATGTTGTTCTTGTTATCGTCTCGGAAGTTAGAAATGATTGCCGGCTCTCTGAGCGTTGACTGCGCTCAACGCTGCCGCGCAGTGGTGAATTCAAATGGCAATTGATGTCGCGGCAACAGTTGAGCATGGCTGAGACCGCGGTGGTGGGCAGTATACCATTACAGCACAATGGTGAAGGTGAAATGCAGCTGAATGGCGCTGCGGCCGCTGACGTCGCTGCTAAGGTTGCTGAACGGCTGCGAAAGTGAAGTCTTTCGTTTTGTTCGTTGCTGGCGTTTTGATTGTCGATGAGGTTTTCCGCAACATTAGCTGACTGTTGTTGTTGTTTTTGCTTTGACTTGGAGCGCGCTGTTTTGCGCCGTTGCACGCTGTGGCTGGACATGATGTAAACTGCAACAATAGTTGCAACGTGAGAATTTTAATTTCTTTTGTTTTGTTTTTGTTTCTTTTCTTTTTTTTTAGTTTCCCAATTTCCTCACACTTTCACTTTTTAAATACTTGACACACGTACACATATTATTGTGAATGGAATAATGTAAGACTTCCAAATTATTTTGTTTGTATAGTTTGTTGCCACGTCTGCCAAGAAACTTGATTTTGCACTATGCCACTTGTTCTTGTTGTTGCTTGCGTTGTTGTTGTTGACTTCTCTCTGTCCACAAATATCATGCATAAGCGCCCAGCAGCCTCGAAGAAAGTTCAAAACACACACAAATACACACACACGCGCTCGCACGCAGCGACAGCAGCAGTAAGAGAAGAGATTACTAAAAATATATTTCTGCTATGTACGTGAGTCGGCGACGATGAGACTCACGCATATTTTAAGTTGACTTTATTCTGCTTTTTGCTTCGCTCCACTCATTCGGTCATTCGGTCCGCAACCTGCCGACTTGTTCGCTTAAGATCTCGACGCGCACTAACTTCGGCGGCCAAGGTGTCTGCGCAGCCGCAGTGGTTTGCTGCTCGCGTTCGCTGACTGCGCAGCCGGCGCTGGAATGCGACCCGTTTGGTGTTTGTGTTTTGACTGCGCCTGTTGCCCACTTTGATTCTTAACCCATTTCTGCTTCACAGCCACTCTCTCTCGATCGCTTGCTCTCTCCCTCTCTCTCAGTCACTCTCTTTTCCAGTTCTTCCACTGCAATGGTCAGTAAAAACAACAATGTAAACAACTGTTATTTTATGACAGCTTTTTTTGGCATAGCGGATTTGAAGGTGGCGTGCGACAAACGTTTAGTAAGCCACAAGATAAATATTTGTTAAGTGTAGCACTTGTTTGAAGTACTTTTTGCTTAAGTGTTATTAAATTCTTGTTGAAAAATTGTGCACATATTATTTTTTTTTTATTTTTAAGATTATATTTGTTTATACATATGTATATATAAATGTATAATAATGTATTCATATGAATGAATAATAAATACGTTTAAGGTTTATGTGGTAGCACTATTATATTTATGAATTTATAAGCATATATATTATATTATTAAATATATATTCAAAAAAAAAATTTTTCTG